TATATATAATGAAGTTGATAAATTTTATTAAATTTTCAATATTTATTATAAAATTTATGATTAATTATATTAGGAAATTAATAAAAAAAAATAGTATCCCACCTTAATCATGAAATATTGAATAATCAATGTCAAATGGGGTGAGACTTGATGGAAACCTTTAATAAATATGGACCCAAAGACGAAGAAAATTTCAACAATACTTTTCGAACATAAATGAATGTTATAAAATGATGCATTCCTATGTTAAATTTAAGCATTTACACTTAGTCATACATTAATATTTTACACATGCCATAAGAGGTATACAACAGATCACAACCTAAAACTTCTTTGAGATCATTCCTTCAAGTCATCCTCATCCTTCTTAAATCTATAAAATTTTAATGTTTGTGAAGTTTAATGATCATCCTAAATAATATTTGTTAGCATCAAAACATAGACTAAATTTAAATCCTTCTAAAGCTCATTGGGCAAATTGTGAGGGCTCTACATACCAATTTATTACTCTCCTTTTTTCTTCATCTTCAGGGCTCTACATACCAATTTATTACTCTCCTTTTTTTCTTCATCTTCTTTTTTTTTTTTTTTGTTGAAAGGAATGACCAGAAGCTATTATACGAGTCTCTAATCACCCCTAATATGTCTAACAATTTGAATACCACCTCCTTAGGCCAACCGTGCCAGAGAGAATTCGAACTCTTGACCTGAGAGGTCTTATACCTTAGATGCCAACCAACATACCATGATTTATTACTTTGTTATTTATTATATTATAATTAGGCCTTCTATTGAGTTGAAAATTTCCAACTTGTATCTTATTTCCAAATCTAAGCTAGGATTCTAGGATAGTAGGTCACCTTGGTGCTTCGTTGGAGTAAGCATCTTCTTAGTATGTTAGGCTACCAGTCTAACAAGTCATTACAAAGTTAACATATATTAAAAAAGCTAGTATGATAGTATTTATCTTATTCCAATTCTTTGAAACATATTTTGAATTTCTCCTTTTAATCAAAATAACCCTTAGTATAACCAAAATAAATCCAAACACAAGATAATGGAAATAAAAGTTTGTGTTGCATAGGTAGTCTTGATGCCAATTCATACCATTCCATCAATTAGAGCAAAAAAATAACCACATGAAGAAAGAAACAAAGAATCAATGACAGATGCATGTCTGAGCATAGCTCAGCTTCAACCCATTAGCTCCTTTGTTTTTGTAGAACAAATCACATGTAATCTGAACATAGCTTAATAGCTTAAATGCCTGACAAAATACTCTAATATCAAGTTTATTTTCACCTTATGCACCTCAAGTGGAGTATATTAACAAGCATTCAGAAATTGGTGATGACAGATGGACTTGAGCAAGAGATTAGCCTTGCCCCTTTGCACTAAGTTTATACCAACAACATTTGATATGCGCATAGGCTAACCATTTATTCAAAATATCATATCATTTATTTACTTGTTGCTTGCCCATGATATGAGCTCAGGTCTGCATGCGTATCTTTGAATCGCTGGCACATGTATGCAGAACATGTTATCGGCGGGTACCTAAAGATAAGTTAGTCAACAAACTTGTAAATAGTAAATAGCTTTCTCAACTATTAAAAAAAATAAATAAAATGAAGAATTAAAGAACAGAAAACTGAAATCCCCAGTTTTACATCAGATTTCATAAGCATATAACGCACTTGGGAGGGTTCGTCTCAGAAGTGCATGATGGTAAACACTCTGCAAGGTATTCGTGGCTCGGGTCCGCAAAAAATGCAATCTGTTAAACCAGGATTATAATTAAAACTAATGGAATATAGTTGCTGATAAATACAATCCGCATGAATAACAATTTATCCTATATGGGGAGAGAATACACAACAAACAACAGTTTCTTTCCTTAATAAGATGAGACCAAATCAACATAAGCCCTCCAAGAGAACTTATTAAAGTTATCATGGACCAACCAAAGAGCTCAATGACTCGAGCGAAAGAAACATTTGCCTAATCTGAGAAGGCCTCCCCTAACTCAGACATGTTCATTCAAAACTAAGAATGATTGCCTAGCCCCCAGGCACTCACCCAGTTCAGGGGAGCACATTTGGTTCATAGAAACTTGCCCAGATCAGAAGCACTGGCATCACCTAAAAGCATTCAACCCCGAGTTATAAAAGAAATCCGATGACTCCCTCCATTCTGCTGCCAGGCGACCTCGCCTAATCAATCGACGGCCTCATCCACTTGGCCGCAGAAGCCTCTTAGGAACCCATAAAGACAGCCATCCACATGTATTCTCTAAAGACTTAATTTCTATGTATGCATGTCTGAGATGGTCCAATTACCTTTTCATCAATTTATTACTTTCAGAAAAATGTAGCTCTTGCTATATGGCCAGGCAAAAATGACATAGTTCGAAACTAGACCATTAAGAGCACAAGGAAAACAAATTTCTAAAAACAATATTGAGACTAAAAGCAATTCCCTTCTGTTGATCCAAATAAGAGTGGAGTGATGGGCCTTACAGAATAGCGTTCTTGTCCATCCAATACAACACGGTGAAGTGTGGATCTGCGCACAAATATTAACTTATGAAAATTATATTTAATGGAATACCAATAAATGATATGTTATATATTCAAATTAAATTAAACATCACATTAAAAAAGTGTAATTTGAGATTATGTTTGCAAAACTTAACAAAGGGGAAACTAACTGAAGGTCTGAAGGTCTAGAATACAAGCTTAGAATTGTGCACTCTTAAAATGAGAAAGCCTGATATTGGAATTAAAAAATAGAGAGAATACATTACAAGGCAAAATGGTGACTTTTCTCAAGAGATCAAAATAATTTAAAAACATGGAAAAATCTGAGTCAATTTTCCTAAAAATTACTCCACGCATTAAAAGAACAAATAATAAAAAAACAATTCATCGTCTTTGAAAGCATGAAAAGTATGTTTTTCTTCAAGCTTTTCGTGGTGGGTCATCGAGGAATATACAAAAATGTATCTTATCTCCCTTATTTTTTATGCATGCTAAATTTTCTTGCACTATAGCCGACAAGAACCATGAGAAACTTTAAAGCCTTTGACCTCAGAAGTGATGAACTTATATGCCTATCCTGTAGAATGAATTTTTCCTATTTCATAACAGAAACATGATAACATGAAATGGGACAATAAAGCAGAAAAACTTGCAAGGTCAATGCAGAAACAATGATGAAGTGGAAAAGTTATGCAACTAAATATTAAAGGCTGCTTTTGCTATTCAATAGAAACAGTTTGATAAACTGAGATAAAGACATGAAAAAGGAGAACTACCTACTAAGGCAGAGTCATACCTGAAAACATCATTAGTCAGCCGCTCAAGCAAATCACCAAGATTGACAATGAAACCTCTGGAATGGCAAAATACATGTTTCAAAGTTAACAACCGATTTTGAGGCAGCTATTGTTTGATAATGATTGGGGATTTGGAGGAACAATAAAACCAATTTATTTATGCATTCATATCTTATAATTATGAATAACAACTTAGACGGATTATAATCTTTCATCATAATGGACAAAAGAAAATCAAGATAGTTGTAATCATTTTATAATAAAAGCTCAACACTAATACTAAATTGCTGAACTAGATGTAAAATTGAGAATATGGAGCATGCATAAGCAACATTCAGCGAGGATTTCACAATCAGAATCAGGGCAACAGAGGAGCATTAACACAGTCAATTCAATAGGATTCAATGTGATGGCTCTTCAAACCAGGATCAAATGACTGCAGGACAACTATAGTTCCCCAGCTTGAACTTGGAAGAGTTCAGGTATGACTATAATTAGGTTCAGATTAACTATCCGTGATGGAAACCAAGTGACAACGCTAAAGAGCAAGTAATAGCAAGCTTCCTATTTTTAAAAGAGTTCAGGTATGACTATAATTAGGTTCAGATTAGCTATTCGTGATGGAAACCAAGTAACAACGGTAAAGAGCAAGTAATAGCAAGCTTCCTAATTTTAGATGAGAGATTAACCCTTTCAATGTAGTGACATCTTCCCATATCTGAGGTCGGGCATCCTTATCCTTGCATATCTAACAAGAGTACAACACAAAGTAGTAGCATCACTAATAAAAAAAGAAAAAAGAAAAAAAAAACAGACAATGGAAACTCTATAGTGACCTAAATTTCTTATATTACCTGAAGACCCGCCACACCATCAGTGGCCAAGAGAGTAAGCAAACCAAAATCAGAGTGTGCTCCACATCCATATATTCCCCTTGCAGGATCAGAAACTTTATCTGAATGACATAAATAAGAAAAAAAAATCATTCCGCGCATACATCACAAAGTATCAAGAAAAATGGACATTAGGAAGAAAAAACAAAGGATGTCCTGTAAAGTGCCTTAATTACCTTCATAGTGAAGAAGCCTCAACGTTGCAATGGGCTCGCCTAGTATTTGTGGCCTAACAAAGTAATCAGCATCTAAATCAAGTGCAAGAGCCAGAATCTTAGCAATTGCCCGGCACACTCTCCTGTAAACATGTGATAAATAGTCTCAGAATCTTAAGTTATGAAATTTCAACCACTGCAACTTTGGAAGTGCAATGTTTGGCATTGAATATCAGAGCTATTGATATCTTCTATGTTTATTATTTTCTATTTTTAGTAGTTTTTACTTTTTAGAATTAGCTATTGTTGGTATTTTCTATTTAATTTTTCAAGCATGAGAATTTTGTGGCTTTCCTAATGTGGTAGCATTCTCCTATTATTTATCTTGTAATAGAGTTTTTAGAAATTGAAGAGAAATAATTATTTTTTGCCTCCTAAAAACTACAAGGTATCGGGGCCCATCTTTTCCTTCGAAATGGCGACCTAATCCCATCAAGATTGTATGCAAGTTTTGTTCTTTGTGACCGACCCCTCGCGATACAGTTTCGATTATAGCTAGCTAGGAATGCAACAACTGGATCACAACTAGGAAGGCAGCGACTGGATTAGGACTAGGAAGGCAACAACCGGATCACAACATTCAAAGAACCTTGGCATACAGTCGCGATTACAGTCAGTTGGGAAGGCAACAACTGGATTGCGGTGTTTAGAGAACCGAAGTCACCTGATTCGACGGCGTTCAAGGGATCTAGATATGCTTCCGCTCGGTTTTGATTTCACGGCTTCCTCATGATTATGTCGTCAAGGATTCTAGACCTACCACGACATAGAGAATTTCAACTCCTTGTCACCCGCCTTTGAAGCCGTAAGCTACTTCACGACGCAAGGCTTCTTTTTGACAGTAACTTTCAGCGCATATATGTTTTCATCTTTTTCTCTTCTGCCTTTTTTTACATTGGCGGCGGGCTTCTAAGTGGTGGCTTCTCAACGGCTAGTTTCTTCTCAGTCTTCAGCGCCATTGAAATTTGTACTTGGAGAGAAAGAGGACTTCTTTCTGTTCCTCCCGTTTTCACATAGAAGTCTTTCGTTCCAGAGTTTTGTGAATCGAAGAATCGAATTGGATCGAATGTATGCCCATCAAATGCTCAATATGTTTCAACCCCTTTGGCTTCTTCTCCATTGGAGCCACCAAATCCGCTACTCCTCTTTAAGCGTCGAAATATTGAATTTTCAAACTCATCCTCTTCTTACTCTGATGATGTCATACAAGTCAACAATGACCAGCGCCTAAAGAAATCCTACCATTTCTACCGGTTTCGGTAATTTCAAAATCAATTCTCCCTACCCATGGTGGTGCGAGCATTGCAAAAAACCATGACATTTTAAGGAGACGTGTTGGAAGCTTAATGTAAACCAGCAAAATGGAGACAAAATCTAAATCTGAAGGTTGGGCCTATGAAGCCACTGTTGATGACATTTGAGAGCGTTTTACCAACTCAAAATTTCACCAAGGTGCAATTAGATGACCTGCACAAGTTGTTTCAATCTCCAATATCCTCGTTGACTTCGTTTTTATCTTCAACATAAAAAGTAATTCTCTATTCATTGTATTGTTAGGTGTTAACTCTAATTTTATTCAATCTTAGATAATTGATTCTAGTGCAACTGATCATATGACTGGTTCTAAGTTATTCTCATCTTATAAACCTTGTGTAGACAATAAAAGAGTCAAAATTATCGATAATTCCCTCCCATTAATTCTTGAGATATTAACCATCAAACTCATCTCATTTTTAACCCTTCATGATATGCTCCATGTTCCCAATTTATTTATAATCTATTGTTCATTAGCAAAATTACTTCTTATTATCAATGTCAAGTTAATTTCTACTCATTTTGTTGTGAGTTTTAGGTATAGACCACTAGGAGGATGATTGGTAGTGCTAAGAAAATGAATGGACTTTATTATTTTGACGACGGATTTAATGCAAATAGATAATGTTAAAGTACTTTCAATTTAATTTTTATATCCAAACTACGGATTTAATGCAAATAGATAATGTTAAAGTACTTCTTTCAATTTAATTTTTATATCCAAACAATAATATTATACTATAACATTATAAGTTAGGTCAGTCCAATTTTCCAGTATTTAAAATTTTTTGTTTCCTAGTTTATTTCAAAATAAATATTTTTCATCTTTCCAATGTGAAGTATGTCAATTTGTCAGACATCATCATGCATCTTTTCCACTCCAAATTTATAAACTGCACATTTTATTCTGCTTCAAAATGATATTTGGGATCCTTCTAAACTTCTAATACACACTGAAAAAAAAAAAATGCTTATCTTTAGTGATGATCACAAAAAATTAAGTTAGATGAATTTGTTGAAAAAAATTAAATTGGAAATAACTTCCAAATAATTTTACATCATGGTAGAAACAAATTTTCAAAAAACTATTCAAATATTATGGAGAAATAATGACTGAGTTTATTTTAAAAATATTTTGAGTTAATGTTTTTCGAAAAATAAATAGTATATCAAAGCTCTTGTGTCGACACCCCACAACAAAATGGTGTAGCTGAAAGAAACAACAAACAATTTTTGAAAGTAGCTCGGACATTACTATTTACAAATTAGGGGACAATATTTTTTAGACGAAACCGTTCTTACTGCTACATTACTCGTTAATAGAACATGCAATAAAATTTTGAACTTTGAAACCTCTTTTTATATTTTTTATAAACTTTACTCAATAAGTTGGTTTTCATCTTCTTTACCTTTAAAGATGTTTAGGTGTACGGTATTTGTTCACATTCATAGTTATAATCAAGAAAAATTTGAACCTGGAGCCATAAAATATGTGTTTGTTGATTATACTCCAACACAAAACTAGTACAAATATTTTGATCCTATTTCTAAAAAAATATTTGCTTCCAAGGATGTCATTTTTTTTTTAATTACAACTCTTTTTTTCACCTAATCTTCAAGGGAAGGGAGACAAAACAAAGATTCAACCACTGGTTTTTAGGACTTTCTTTGAACCGAAGTCTCACAAAATAATACTTCCCCAACCTGATTGTTTAACCTGAATATCCAAATATTATATTAGGAGAAAGTGGTTTGAGTTTTTAGATATTAAAAATGATTCAGATTAAGATATTAATAATCTTATAACAACAAAGAGGAAAAAAGAAAAAGAACTATGAAGTTGATAACATTTGACATTGTTAACTAGCGACAAAAGATAACTCAAAAGAAAGATTCTATGAATCAATTGTATTGCCCAAAATCCATGAATCCTCTAAGTAATGTCCTCACTGAGTATTTACCCCATGATCAGTTCACTTCATCTTTGAGTTATGAGTCTTCTAGTCCTAAACCCGAATCAAGTCCTAATCCTAAATCTAAGGGGGTAAGGTCTTGCACCTAACGTTCATTGTCTCATTATATGTCATACAAAAATATCTCACCTATGTTGTAGGATTTTACCACACATTTGTCTTTTATGGAGATTTCCAATATTGTGCAGGATGCTCAAAAAGTTCCTGCGAAAAGTTGTCATCGAGGACATGAAAACTCTGAAAAACATGATATGTGGGAATCGGTTGATTTATCTAGAGGAGAGAAAACCATCAGATGAAAATGGTGCTTACAGTTAGGTATAATTTTGATGGCTCTATAGAATGGCGCAAGGCTTGATTGGTTTCCATGGGATTCACTCAGACGTATGACATTATCTACTTAGAGACATTCACCTCGGTCACAAAACTAAACTCTATAAGAGTTCTTCTGTTATTTACAGCTAATCTTGACTGACCCTTATAATAGTTGGATTTAAAAAATACATTTCTCAACGAAGACTCAGAGGAAAAAGTGTGCATGGATGCACCTCCAAGATTTAGTAAGAAGTTTGGCACAAAGGTAAACTAATAAAGTCCTTATAGGAATTGAAGTAGTCACCGAGAGCGTGGTGGTTTAAGAAATTTAGATTATTTGTTAAAGGACAGGGATATACGCAAGGGCAAGGAGATCATGCAATGTTCTGCAAACATTCAAATGATGAAAAGATAAACATACTAATTATGTATGTGGATGATATAATTCTCACCGGAGATGACATATATGAAATGAACTAGTTGAAGACTTCCCTCTCATCAGTTTTTAAGAGCAAGGACTTAGGATCTTTGAGATATTTGCTTGACATAGAATTTGCTAGATTGCATAAAGTGATTGTTCTTTCCCAACGAAAGTATGTTTTCTTGATCTATTAAAAAAACTAGGATGAGTGGTTGTAGACCTACAAACACTCCAATTGATCCTAATCAGAAACTGAAACTAGGAGATGAGAAAAAATGTCCTAGTAAATATAGATCAACATCAAAAGCAGGTAAGAAAGTTGATATATTTATCACATACACGATCAAATATTGCATTTGATGTAAATTTTGTAAGTCAATTTATGCATTCGCCCTCTGAGAAACACCTTGAAATAGTTGACGGGATTATCAAATGCCTAAGAAGTACACCAACTAAAGGTTTACTCTTTTAAAAGACCACACAACAAAACATCGAGACATACAACGATGCAGACTGGGCGACCTCGATTATTGATAGGAGATCGACGTCCGGATAATGTACTTATATATAAGGAAAATATGGTTACATGACGAAGTAAGAAACAAAATTTGGTGGCAAGGAATCGAGCTGAGCAGAATATCAAGCTATGACTAATGGAGTATGTGAGATGTATTACTGAAAAAAATTCTTGAAGAGCTACAGATCCTAATAAACATGCCAATGAAGTTGCCTGTGACAATAAAATTGTCATAAGCATTGCAGAAAATCTGGTGTAGCAAGATCACACAAACATGGCGGAGATTGATAGACACTTCATAAAAGAGAAGGTTGATTATGGAGCTAATTGTCTGCCTTTCACTCAAACAACACAAAAAATAGCAAATATATTTACCAAAGAATTTTTCAAGCTTAGTTTTAAGTTCATTGTAAGTAAGTTGGGAATGATAGATATATATGCTCCAACTTGAGGGGGTGTCAGAATTTTAGGGATTTCCCCCTTTAATATATTTTATTTTTATTATTTCTTTTTTTTGGTAGTTTCTACTTTTAGAATTAGCTA